AGTGCTTTGGGGATATACGAGATATGAGGGGAGGCCGGGGAGGGGAGGGTGGAGGGCTAGGGGCTAAACCCATGGGGGGATGGAAATGGGGGGGAGAACCCTTGGGGAAGGGTTCGGTCTTTTATCCTTTGGTGCTTCTTGACGTGGGGGGGCCGTCATCTTTTCCTTCATCTTTGCATCAACTTGCTTCCCTTTAGAGGCAAGGGGGCGGGTCTCCTTTTTCTTGTACTCCTTGCTCATTATGGGGATCGATGCCTTAGATTTTTGGCTTTGCTTGGGAACACGGGTTTGAAACCCTTCGTTATCTATCATAATTTTCTTGCCAGAAGAGGATTGCTCATTTGTAGAATCCACATTAGTAACAGATTTTGATATAGCATTCAAACAAGAGGAATTAGAATGACCAAAAATATGACACTCAGAGCACATAGGGGGTTTCCATTCATATTCAACACGAAGAGCATATTCTGTCATAGCAAGAGTATCCGGGTCGGGGACCCGGACTTTCACCTCATCAATCCARTTCTCCCTAACAGGCACCTCAAGAAGGACACGGGCAAAAGCCGATTTACCGGCMGCATATTTGCACATATTAACCGTCCACGAGTCCATAGCAAGAGGAATACCAATCTTACTAGCAATATGACTAAGCCCCTCATCGTTCCACGCATCATACAAAATATCATGTATACGAACCCAAAGAGGAATTTTATCATGTAAATTAGAATTTAAATTAAGACCTGGCCTCCATTTTTGAATAAAAATAGGAACGTTTTTAAAATTCCAAGGGCCATTGTCGATCACCTTTTGGAGGCCTTCAACAGAGCTAAATTTAAACAAGAATATACCATGGCCATTTAAGAGCACATCTTCAATACCATATTGGGACCACAATTTCGAAGCGTAAAAGCGAACAACCGGAAAAGGAAGACGCTTACCCACAAAATAGCCACATAAGGTTTTAGCATATGTTTCGCAACTCTTTTTAACGACCGACATAGGGATATCAATAGGGGTGTCCACATTTTCACTTAGATTGGGAATAAAATGAAAATTGTCATTGGCATGTTTATTAGATCCACTAAGAACATGAGCAAAAGAGTTGGGGAGTAAGCTAGAGATTTTTCCACTCCAAGCATTTTTTGAATTATTAGAAAACGTTCCCCCATGATGAAGATGATTTGAATTATGGCTTTGAGATAAAGGCACATCATTACAGCAAGGGGCAGCATTAGAAGCAGAAAGGTTGAGGGGGACATTTTGAAAAGAAGAAGAAACTAGAGGGGGGGGGAGGGGAAGAGAAAGCAAACCTGTTTCCATAGGACGTGGGCCAAGAATGGAATGACCAGATCATGGGCTGTGTCTCGGCAAATCAGCTGCAGCATGAGGATGGTCCACTTGCTGTTGGGCCGAAGGAAGAGTAGCAGCAGCATGATCTTTAAAAACTGGGCCTGGGTGCATTGGAATTGGTCCAAGAATGGAGGAAGTAGGCTGAGAGCAAGAGGAGTCCATCAAAAGACAAGCAGGCCCGTCCATAGCCGTATCCATTTGCAAAGGCTGTTGCATGGGCTGCATCATAGGGCTAACCAAAGGATCAATCAAATCCCTCATGACCTGGTCACATCCCGGAGGAAAAGAAAGTTCATTTTCAACCAAACTAGCTCTAGAGAAACCATGTGGGCCCCCTTCCATCTCCATAAAAGAGGAGACCTGCACACAATGGTCACCATCCATAGTACCATCTACTCTATTTAAAATATTATAAGGAGTACTTTTAGCCAATGGACCATGCTTCTCTTCTTCTCTAGAGTTGCCAACCGTACCCTTTGCATTAAAAACCACATGTTCCCCATGTCCTTTTTTCTTCTTTGCATCTTCTTCAACGACATCTTCTTTACCCTTTTTCTTCTCCACGTCAGACTTAACCAAGTTCTCCTTGTCCACCGTACTAACCTCATTAATGGCCACCTGCACATGCCGCTTCTTCTCTTTTTCATTTTCAAAGCTGCTGCCCATGCATTTAATGTTGCTCACGTTCCCTGCAAGAAACCGATCATTAGCTTCACCCCCAACATCTTCTAGAGCCGACCTACTACTATCTTGCATGAGGAAATTAAAGAACCCATCAATATCCACAGAGTTTTCAGAGCAAGGTGGGTCACCAAACAAGAAAATGCTTTGAATTTTTTGACCGTTCGAAGAGACGACCGTTGGATCATCCTTGGGCAAGTCGATCTTCAAGTTTTTTGCAGGAGACGAATTAACATGGGAGAAAGCTACTTCATGATCAGAAATATCGACGGGAAGGCTAAAGCTAGCCCAAGGAAGGCTGAGAGCGGGGGAAGCAAGCGGCACCGGCAGCTGGGTTTTATCCGGTAAGCTCTCCGGCAGGCCCAACAGCACCTTCATATTAACCTTTGAAGACCCAGACTTTTCAGACTTGTGTGGGAGAACCGATTGATTTTTACACACAGACGCCACGAGCCCTTCATTAACCGGATTGGAGATGCGATAATCAAGCAAAATCTTATCACTAATAGGTTGAGCAACCACAGGTTCATAGTTCTCCAGCCTAGAGAACTTACGGGTGGAGGGAAGAGCAAGCTTTCCATTTTCGTCTTCTTCCTCATCTTCTTCATTAATTTTCTTTTGACACCAACCCATATTGAACTCCACCGCATCCAGAGCCTTGAGGGGGGATGGCATAACAAAGTCCACATTATTCAGATTCGAACTAACAGATCTAGTGATAGAACGATGCATGGTCACCTTTTCAAACCTTCTCATTTTGCAATTTTCTTCAAAGTTTTCAACAAAACCTTGATGAGAACTAGGAAGCGGATTAGAGAATTTCACCCTATGAATCGGCATACGAGATTTCCTTGTTTTCCTATGCAAAGATTCTTTCATACCACGATTTGGAACATCCATGGACATAAAAAACACCAAGAAAACAAAAAAACAACCACAAAAGCTAGAGAGAATTTTTTAGAGAGAGAAACTAGAGNTATAGGGAGGGGGGAGACCCCTCCAGATCAAGGCGAAACACTAAACACAAAATAACAAATACGCGCTCGGGTGGGGGCGAACCACATCCACCAGAAAAACCAAGGCACCCCGAAGGAGAAGAAGGAAGAAAGAAACACAGGAGAAGGGAAAGAGGAAGGAGAAGAAGAGAGAGAGAAGAAGAAGAGCGAGGGAAAGGACCCAGAAAGAGGGCGAGAGAAGAAGAAAGAAAGGGAGAAGGGGAGAGAGAGAGAGAGAGAAAGAAGCCAACCACAAGGGAAGGGTCCAGCCAAAACATGACCGGGAAGCAACAGGTTTAGGGTTTAGGGTTAAGGGTTAAGGGTTTAGGGGTTAGGGGTTAGGGTTTAGGGTTTAGGGGTTAGGGTTTAGGGGTTAGGGTTTAGGGTTTAGGGTTTAGGGTTGGGGGTTGGGGGTTGGGGGTTGGGGGTTAGGGTTAGGGGTTAGGGGTTAGGGGTTTAGGGTTTAGGGTTTTTTTTTGGGAAAAGGGGACGGAACCCCAGGAAAAATTTATTGAAGTAAAGAAGGAAATACAAAATTAAAATGGGCATACCCATTTGTACAAAGAACAACAACCCAAAAAGTGTTTAGGGAAAACAACTAATAAAGGCCTGTTTAAGAAGCCAAAATTAGCAGAAAAAGTCCAAACCAAGAAAGGGATAAAACCCTTATCCATCAAACTAGCACCCTCTTTAGCAAGATCAGCCCAAAACACCTTAGAAGAATTAGCATCCATATTAAAGATAGGCTTCCTCATAGCAGCAGCGCAAGAAACATCCTTAAGGCCCACAACTTCAGTCCCCACAGCCCAAAAATCCTTAGAATAAAAAGGGGTCCATTCCATAAGAATTTGGGTCGAGTAAAAAGGATTAATTGTAATCCAATAATTAATATCAAGAGCCCAATACCAAATAATAAAACCAACTCTTAACTTGAGGCCCAAATCCCGAACCTTATCACACCTGATCAAAAAAGAAATCATCTTCAAATTGTAATCGGCCATGGAACAGGTCGCAATCGAGGAAGACACATCCAAATCAGGAGTAGCTGCGCCCTTACAATCGATAGCAATCCAAATCCATAACCTCCATTGCTGCCCCCTTCCAATTGCAAGCAATCCGAAGCCACCAAAGATGTTGGAATTGCAAAAACTCCAAAGAAATCGATCCATACAGCAGAAATCAAAAACCCTAATTTTCGAGCAAATACCCAAATCTCCAAGCATCCTCGTATTCCAGATCAGCCATCGAGTAAAATTGATGGTCGCAATTTCCCATCCAGTTGTATCGATGTCCATTGATGCAAACAAAACCGCAAATCCTACACCATCGTTTAACACCTCAGTACCATCAATACTCATTGTTATAAAGTCATCGCCTTTTTGCACCATGATGAACTTGCAGCAGGAAGATAAATTAAGAAAAGCGTTACGATCGGTTACTACTCCAAAGTCAATCCATCTATCATTTTTATCCTTGTTAATTGGAATCCAAAATTTTGGAATCCAAACTTCATCCTTTATAAGATACCAATTTTGAAAAAAGCTCAATCTTTTGAGGGTTTAGGGTTTAGGGTTTAGGGTTTTTTTTTGATAGAGAGGGGGGAGACCCCTCCAGATCAAGAAAAAAAGCTAAAAGCCAAACAATGAAGCGCGCGGGAAGGAGGAAAACCTCAACTACCAGCCAGAGAAATTGAGGCACCCCGAGGGGAAAGAGAAGAGAAGAGGACAAGAAAAGGAGAGAGGAGAGAAGAAAGAAAGAGAGAGAGAGAGAGAGAGAGGGGGAGAGATAAAAAAGAGAAAAAAAACCAACCACAAGGGAAGGGMCCGGCCGAGCCACGGCCAGGAAACAATGGGGACGAACCACAAGGGCAGGAAAAAGGGCCTAAATGAAAAGGCACACCCTAGACCGCACCAAGAAAAACAACAGAGCAAAAAGGCTCACGAAACCAAAAAGGAAGCACACAGAGACGGAGAGCTAAGGGAGATTCCAGGCAAGCCGAGCCCGGACAACATTAGGAGAGGGCTTGAGGGTCAGGCTAAGGAGCCTGGACCGGACATCATCGGTAATCATCTTAACCACCATAATATACGATCTTCTTTTATTTTTGAATATGCGATTATTCCTTTCCTGCCACAAGTGGTAGACGGTTCCAGCAAGCACTAATCTGCGTATAATAGACCAGACGGTCTTTCCTTTGGTAGCATGCTGGAAAATACCAATAATATCAGCCCAGTTATCCGGAACACCAGAGAGGTTAAGCTTGGCTTTTAAGCCATTCCAAACCTGATTAGGAAACGGGCACTCAAAGAAAAGATGAGAATGCAAATCAGGCCCGTTATGACAGAAAGCACAAGACAGGTTGGAGTGGCCCTCCCAGAACCGAAGCTTGTCATGCGTCTTTAGACGCTGCTTGAGGGCAACCCACAGAATAAACACGTGTCTGGGAATATTCTGGGAAAACCAGACCAAGTGATGCCTGGAGACATCCGGCTCATTAGGACAGAGGGATAGCCAGACCTCGTGAACAGAGAACGGCGTGAGCTGACCATCCCTGGTTCTCCGGAGGAGTTTATCAGGGGCATTAGAGGAAACGACAGGAAGAGGGGAATTACGGATTAAAGGGTTGGGACTGTCCCTCAGGAGAGGGCAGTTCCAAAAACCCTGGAAGATGATATCCTTCACAGGAGCAGAAAGAGTTAAATTAGAGTTAATGATATTGCGGGAGGATATATGCCGGTAGAGGGGACCAACCGGATGCCAGTTGTCATACCAGGCGGACGTGGAAGCGCCATTACCAATCTGGGAGACAATGCAGTCTCTAATCTTTTCCCTCATGCCAAGGATCTTCCTCCAGCCCCAACCTACATCACTGCGGATCAGGACATCCCAGAAGTTACGATCTTTAAGCCTGTAGGAGTGGATCCATTTAACCCATAAAGAATCCTTGATGGTAAGGATTCTCCAGGGTTTAGGGTTTAGGGTTTAGGGTTTAGGGTTTTTTTTGATAGGGAGGGGGGAGACCCCTCCAGATCAAGGCAAAAACACTAAAACAACAAATTACGCTCTCGGGTGGGGGCGAACCACATCCACCAGAATCCAAGGCACCCAGAAGGGAAAGAAGGGGAGCAGAGGAGAAGAGGGAAGAAAAAAGGGAGAAAGAAGCAGAGAGAGGAAGAGAGACAGAGACAGAAGCCGACCA